ATTTATGGAGTCACACAAAACCCAGAAACAAAAGAGTACATGATTGTTATGCAATATGCTAACAATGGTAGTCTTTTATCTTATTTGGATCAAAATATTAACAACTTGACATGGAGGATGAAATTGCTGTGTTTGCAGAATATTGCAGACCATTTGAATCTTATTCATCAGACAGGATTTGTACACATAATAGTGGATTTAATGTAAATTAGTTTCATATTAATATTTTTATATATAGAGGTAATCCTATATTCATCACATTATGATTTTATTCCTCACATTCTGGTATGATAAAGTGAGCATTAAAATTAACAGGTCCATAAGTTATGAATGAACACCATTATTACTTTTCAAAATGTCATCAGTCACACTGGTCAATTTTACAGCAACATCATAATCAGCCTCTTATTTATGTCACATAATAAAAACATTCACTTTGTCTGGTTTTGTTGCAGTATGCCCCATATATGGTATTCCATGTGTTGATGGTAGAATCATCCTTTCCCACCTCTTTAGTAAGGCTGTGAATATTATTCCAAAGTGTCAATGCATCTGGACACTTGTCAGGATCAGCATCACAACACTGTCTGGCAAGTTTTCTATATGCCTCTGGTGTTAAATCAGGCATCATTGGTCATAGTCCACCCATAATATTGCATAATAAGTCTATCAAATTCTCTATTTCTAAAAGGCTGTTCACCACTGGCCATCAAATACATAATAATACCAAAAGAATATATGTCTGATTTCTGAGTAAATTTGCAAGTACGAAAGACTTCTGGTGCAATAAAAGGTAAAATGCCTTGAATAGTTGAATTTGACTTGTGTGAATTCACTGATTGTGAGAGTCCAAGATCACAAATAAATGAATTGAGCTCAGATGCCTCATAATGCAAAACTATGTTTCCACCATGAAGATCACTGTGTTATTGAAGCATGCTTGGTATGTGTAATGAATGTATGGGAATTTTTTGGGCCATGCTAACTTACTATTGAGAATAGATTGGTTGCAAGCGCAAGTGGAATGAAGTGGATGAAGACACTGTTGGTCTTGAAGAAGCATACGGGATCGTTACGGATGCTGAGAAGTGGTATTTTCTCCATTGCAAAGTGAGCAACGACAAAGGGACCGAATTTGAGTTGTCAAAGCCCCCCGTCACTGTTAATTGGTTTGGAACTGTGGAAAAATACAGGGCTGATGTAAAAATGGTGTTAGAGCATATCCTTTGGTTATTGAGCAAAATGGAGGAAGCAGAGGCCAACATGGGAATTGGTTGGGTAAATGCTCCTAAAGATGAGACGAGATAATGATGAGCTGATTGATTTGTGCTTATCGATATTTTCTAGCATTTTTAGGGAATTAATTTCTTAAATTAGTTTACACTGCTCTGACCTTTTTTTCAAATCTTGATATTCATACCTTTCATAGTGTGTTGGAGGAAAAACAGCAGTTTGATAATATGCGTGATGAATTTTTTTTGCTTTGATTTGCTCTGTGTTCTCTTTATATATTAATAATATAATACAGTCAGGAGTTTTTCCAAATTTAGACGACGCAAATCATACTTTTTATGGGGATAAACCAATTCTAGAATTTTCTAGCATTAGATTGCAGAACACTATGGAAAAGTCTGAAAGTCACATGTTGAAAATATAATATTAGAAGACTATTCATTAAGTCGTCACGGGATTTGTTCGATA